CCAGTGACCCCCACAGACACCTGCAGACCCCCATGTTCCCTCCTCAGCCAAGGCCTCCAACAGCATCTTTGGTCACAGGGGAGGGAGAAAAAYCCTGGGCTGGGTTCCCCTGGTGGTCCCTGCTCTGGGGTGGGGTGGGGGAAAGGTTAGGGGTTGTGAGTCCGAGTATCCAGGAACAAAACCCCTTGGTGCCCAGCAGCTAGTGCCAGCGTGTACGAGGAGAGAACAAAAAGGAACCACACACAATTCAATATAAATCAAGCATTAGATGATTTATTGCAGTTTCTTACACCCTTTTATAACCAAAAYGTCTTCTGTACACGTGACTGCATATATCATGATTGGTTACATGCACTGTTCACACGGCGTTTGTGYGGCAAAACTACTTCTGTGGTTGGCYAGCATTATTTATGTCAAGYTGGCAACAAATARTTAAACAAAAAGCTTCTYGGGGCCCTTAYYGCTGGAGTTTCTTACTCCCTATGCCATTATAAAATTCTTTCTTCCTTTGCTCAYCCTCGTTAACCYRGCCTACATGTCAGCAGGYCTCTCTTATTATGGCTGGTGCAGAATGTGTCCTTTTTCTTGCACCAGCRCAGTGCCAACCCCTGTGTCCCCTGTGTGCCACAGGAGCCCTCAAGTCCTACCTGCGCGAGCTGCCGGAGCCCCTCATGACCTTCGAGCTGTACGAGGAGTGGATCCAGGCCTCCAAGTGAGTCTGGAACATSCCCTGCTGCTCCATGGCATGGCCAGGGCCAGTCTGGGTCCCCGGGGATGCTTTGGGTTTTTTCTGACACAGCTCACAGCATTTGGGGTGTTTCCTCTGAGGGGTGGGAGGTGGGGAGAGCTCCAGCATCCAGAGGGTTCCCTTCTCCTTTTGGCTGGATTTTTGGGGTTAAGTTACTGMCATAGTGTTGGTGGCAGCCCGAGGGTCTCGCAGGGTCCCCATGGGCAGGACTGGGGGATCTACAGCCTCGGGGCAGGGTGGGGCTGGGGGATAATATCCTGTCCCTCCTCCCTGCAGCATCCCAGAGCAGGAGAAACGGCTGCAGGCTCTCTGGAACGCCTGCGAGAAGCTGCCCAAAGCCAACTACAACAACATCAGGTGAACCTGGGGCAGATGGGACATGGCGAGGGGACACCGGGGCTGTGACCTGGGCACTGACCTGTCTGGGATCTGCCACTGACCCCTCTGGGAYCTGSCACTGACCTGTCTGGGATCTGCTTGCCAGGTACGTGATTAAATTCCTGGCCAAGCTGACCGAGTACCAGGACATGAACAAAATGACCCCGAGCAATGTGGCCATCGTGCTGGGGCCCAACCTGCTGTGGCCACAGGCTGAAGGGTGAGCACTGGAGGAGGGGGATGGGGAAGGGCTGAGGGGGAAATGCAGCTGGGAATGGAGCTGGGAATGGAGATGAGATTGGAGC